TTCCCTTTTTTTTTTTTTTTTTTGAAATTCACTATTTTTCTTTGTCTTGAATGATTAATTTGTTGTTTCGAAAGCAAATTTTGTTGTTAGTGTAGAATTTTTATAAAATAAATTTAAGGGTCTCTCAATATGGTTTCGCGTTAGGCCACAAGTTCTGTTGAGTCGCCCCGAAAATAGGTAATAATATCCATATTAATAATAGTAAACCCAATTTGGGTAGAAACCAGAAAAATTATTTATATATGATTCTAGACATGAATATAAGAAAAAATCAAATATCAAACTTTAAACAATTTAGCTTTCTACTATTACGCTAAATATGATTTTAGACATGAATTCAAGAATTTAGAAAATGTCAAATCCCAAAATAAATTTTTCTCCATTAATTTATATATATGGTGTAGTTTGATGGAACTAAAATTTAAGAAAGAGAAAAAGACTTTTGATAGATGTGGTCTTAAATTTGTCATAATATATGTGCTGCTATAAAATATTTAAAATATATTAGCATTTATGTGATTATAAAGATTTATGAAGAATAAATCCAAATAGCCATCTATCCAACCACTTTAACATAAAAATAACCCGTGGAGGTGTAATGTGTGTATAATTTATGTATTATATATGTATAATCAATGTATAATCTATGTATATAACTAGAAAAAGTAAATAATGAATATGGCCGACTATTTGCGTAAATATCCCAAAATTTATCACTAAAGATAAAATAAAAAGTTAAGTTAAATTATTTCCAATTTTAAAAGTTATCATTTTCTGATAAGAAAATAGTGTCATTCTTTAGAAATAAAGGATTTTAGATGAAAATTAAGAAAAAATCTAGAAAATATCAAATCTTAAATTAGGTTTCTACTTTTGTTTTAATTCCTGTTCTTTTTCCAAGTATGCAACTTTACACCTGCACGAAAGGGATTGAATGCTCAAGCACTTTGGTTCTTGAATCCTTTGAGAGAAGTAAAATTGAAACAAGTGAAATAACTTGGGAGTGAGGTATGGCCGGCTTGGAAAAACAACAACAACATACCCAGTAAAATCTCACTAGTGGGGTCTGGGGAGAGTAGAGTGTACGCAGACCTTACCCCTACCCCGAAAAGGGTATAGAGGCTGTTTCCCGGAGACTCTTGGCTCGACAAGAGAGACAATAATGTCATAAAAGAAACAAAAGAAAAGGCATGTAACAGCAAAATGTGCCAGAAAGAAAATAACAACAACGAATAAGTGAAAGGACAATAACACAAAACTATGCAAAACAACAATGTGAACACAACATAGACTGCTAACAAACCTAAACAAAATTCTATCAGACTACCCGGTATAAAGAGGGAAGAATTCTCGACTACCCCCTAGCCTACCACCCTAATGCTCGACCTCCACATGTTCCTATCAAGAGCCATGTCCTCGAAAATCTGAAGCCGCACCATGTCTTGCCTGATCACCTCACCCCAACACTTCTTAGGACGCCCTCTGACTCTTCTCGTACCTGCCAAAGTAAACTGCTCACACCTCCTAACCAGTGCATCTAGGCTTGGAAAAACGAAAGAGAAGTAAGTAGAGTAATCAAAGAAAAATAGTACAAGTAAGTCGGCGATTTTATTTGGGAAAATAAAGTCACTGTCAAGAAACATGACAGTGACATAAACATCATTCGTCGACCAGAAGTTCTCAAATTCAGATAACATGTGTACATCTAACATTTGTCCAGAAAATTGATATAGAAGTATTGATATTTCAAAGATTTTGGAATGTCACCAAATCTATTGGAACAGTCATAAGATAATTTATTGAAAAACTGAGGAGTCAAAATAAAATTTTTAAAGCTAAAATGGCTGGTACTGTTTTTGATATCTTACACCCTATGTACAAACTTAAGCTATTGCATAAGCATATACAAGTGTCAGTCTGACACAGTCTTGAAGACATTGTGTGATTAAACTTTGAATCCAACCCCTTAATTAAATTCGTGTCGTATAATGTATCCACGTGCTCAGGTTCCCAACGTTTTGCACATTTTAATACTTAAGATTTAATCATTTATAAATAGTGTCAGCAGAGACAAAATTGAGTTGAGATGGAGGAAAGGTATGAGGCATTAAAAGAACTAGGTTCTGGTAATTTTGGGGTGGCAAGGCTAGTGAGGGACAAGAAAACAAAGGAGCTTCTTGCTGTTAAATACATAGAAAGAGGGAACAAGGTAGTTTTTATTCCTTGTCAAACTCATTTTTAATAGTATTTGTTAACTTTGTCATGATTAAGTTGAGAGTTTAATGGCTATATTCTTTAAATGCTTAATTTGAGGTTATGTTTGGTCTTTCTTACTTATATTAATTCAATTCTTTTTGAGGTTAAGTTTGGTCATTGCATCTTAGTGTATTGTGAAGGGGTTTACATGCATTTTGGCACTGAATTTAGGCTGTCGTTTGGAATTTTGGGAAATTGAGTTGGACTTGGGAGTTTTTGATTGATGTTGATGAAATTTCGCCCTGCTCCACTCTTTCTTTGCTTATTTTTCTTGATTCATTGACCCCAATTATTGTTTGATGTTGAGGCGTAGTTGATTGATCTTGGTTTCTTGACCGAGTTAGTGTGATAGCTGGTATTGCTGTCTGATTTGTTTTATAATCGAATCACTTGGCAATATTCTGCACGGAGCAACATTGTTGGTACTGAAAAAGCTCCAGTACATTTCTACTAATTTACTGGTTTCATGTAAAAAAAATGACATATGCTTTATCTCCAGTTACTTGCTATAAGCGTACTAAAAAGGTTATCGTGTTCTTTTAAATGATTTATATTCGTTTGTTGTTTCAGATTGACGAGAATGTACAGAGGGAAATCATAAATCATAGATCATTAAGGCATCCAAACATTATCAGATTTAAAGAGGTAAAATCATCTTGTTTTCTTGACTTGAAGGCTTACTACAACAACGCCTTAATCCCAAGTTAGTTGGGGTCAATTCTCGCTATCTAATCTCACCTCATATGTATCCGTTTCATTCCAATGTTTTGGATTCTCTAACATGATTATCCCAATAAAATCTAGAAATATGTCTCCAAGGAAATTACCACTGTTTTGCATAACCCTTTTCAGCAGCTGTGATCTTTACGCTTAAAGGTTAACTTCTGTGGTATGCACAATCACTAATTCACAACTATTAAAGCGCTTTATTGCATCTTGCTGTGTCATAATTAACATGGTATGGCCCTTCTGTTACAGGTATTGTTAACTCCTACACATATAGCAATTGTGATGGAATATGCAGCAGGGGGAGAACTTTTTGCTAGAATATGCAGTGCGGGAAGATTTAGTGAAGATGAGGTTATAACATATCCTACTTATTCTGTTACTCTATTTGGTGAGAAGGAAATGTTATCCTTACCATTTCATTTTGTGCTACCAATTAAACAGGCTCGCTTTTTCTTCCAACAGCTAATATCTCCCTGCTGTCATTCAATGGTACAACAATGAAACTGCTATTTTTTTGTTCTTTTATGATATTCATCTGCTCATGTAATAGTCTTCTCGAGCATTACTTGTATTTTACTGCAGGAGATCTGTCACAGAGATTTGAAACTGGAAAACACACTCCTTGACGGAAGCCCAACACCACGTCTAAAAATATGTGATTTCGGTTACTCCAAGGTTTCCTGCCCTCTAGTTGAGAAGTTATCTACTACTCCTATCATTATCTAGCAGGACATTACATTTGTTATTTACGATTTTCTTAATCATGCAGTCTGGATTATTGCATTCACAACCCAAGTCAACAGTAGGAACACCTGCTTACATTGCTCCAGAGGTCCTGTCACGGAAGGAATATGACGGGAAGGTATACATTAGAATCTTGAAGAATTCTCTGGCAAAACCTGAAGCATCACACGAATTGCATTACGCTCATAACTTTATTTATCGATTTCCCTTTCACTAATCTGCCATAGGGGCCTATGTTTGCTTGCACAGACGGTATATTTGGCTTTTAACTAAATATTGCAGTTAGGGGTGTTCATGGTTCGGTTTGGATCGGTTTTTCCCTAAAAAGAAACCAAACCAAGTAAGTCGGTTTTTCAAATATTAGAACCAAACCAAACCAATTAAGTCGATTTTTTCTCGATTCGGTTTATGTCGGGTTTTGTCGGTTTTTCGGTTTTTTCGATTATTTGTCGGTTTTTTCTTAAATATAAGACGTACACTACCAAACACATACTCCAGCGACCACATTTTCAACGTAACACTATCAAATCAATTTCCCTTTGAAAAATCTATTATTTACCAAGATATATTGATGATAATTGAATCAAATAGTGATAAATAATTTAAGGACTCAATTAAAAATATACTATTTTTAACACGAAATGGATTCTTACACTTAACAAAAGAAAACTACCAATCAAACTAGAATGTAAAGGTAAAGAACTATACTAAAAGTGGCAAACTATTAACATTTACAATAAAATTTTTGAAACTTTGTATAAAAATATACATATATATAGGTGTAATAATAAATTTAAAATAGTTACTCCTATAGTCGGTTTTTTTCTGAATTAAACCAAAACCAAACCAAATTTGATCGGTTTTTAAAATTCAAAACCAAAACCAAACCAAACCAAAAAGTATCGGTTTTTTTGGTCGGTTTGGTTTGGTTTTCGGTTTGGTTCGGTTTTTCGGGTTTTTATGAACACCCCTAATTGCAGTAGTGGATATACTTTAAATTTTTTGCAAAAAAGATGTTTAGTAAAGATAAGTAAATTTATGGATGAAGTACTGATCTTTTACTTGTTTGAAACTAAATATATGGTAGCTACTACATGCTTAAAAAACCATGACAAAATCTGATGAAGAACCAGTTGAACTTGTACTAGTATTTTGTTCGCACAAGAACTACCCTAGTGTTGAATCCTGCTGATTTAGAGCTGAACCATTTGATGCAGCCTAGTTAGTTCTGGCTAAATATTTAGGCCTAAAGCAAATCTTCCAGTTAGAACTTATCAAACCAAAATAAAAATAAAAATGGAACACTACATTTTGGTAAGAACTTGCTAGCTCATTTATCATTGCCTTTCTGAACGTTTGATATATCTGGTTCATTTTGAGTTACTTCAATTGAAGTATTCTGCATATTTTGAAGTCTAGCATTTTCAGGTTGCAGATGTGTGGTCATGTGGGGTGACGCTGTATGTGATGTTAGTAGGAGCCTACCCCTTTGAAGATCCTGACGATCCTAGAAATTTCCGTAAAACTATTGGGGTGAGTTTATAAATTCTTTGATTTCAGGTTTGAACTAAGTAAGCTCATCTCCTGAACAATGTTCAATCCACTATTGTCTCAATTAGCAGATTAAGAACTGTTTGTTTCCTTTTCCAGAGAATAATGAGTGCCCAGTTCTCCATACCCGATTATATAAGAATATCTGCAGATTGCAAGAACCTTCTTTCTCGAATCTTTGTTGCGAATCCATCAATGGTAAGTTTCATTTACTCACTAGCTAGAGCAGTGGCGAAGCCAGGAATTTCATTTTGGGTATTCAAACTTGAAATAAGTAAAAAAAATCCCCGATAAACGGTGTTCAATACACGTTATATACCATTTGATAAGAATGGACCTTGGGCCTAAGTTAGGTCCAAGGTCCATTCTTATCATGGTATCAGAGCCGGACCCATCCCAATTCTTTGTTTCACCGATGTTGGGGCCCCCATATTATATTGTCCACGTTCCAGTTGGCAGGCCTGGATGTGCCGGGGGTGTTGAGTCTCCCACATCGGCTAAGGGATGGGGGACTTGGTCTCCTTATATGGCTTGGGCAATCCTCACCTCATGAGCTAACTTTTGGGTTGAGTTAGGCTCAATGTCCATATCTTAACACCATTAAGATCTACTATTTTACCTACATATTCAGTTTATGGGAAAAGCATCTTATTTGAATATATTTTACACGTTAGACACAAGCTTTCTTGTTAATAAAATCTGTCAGCTGTGTATATACTAAAGATGGGTTCAATATACTGCAGAGGATCACCATTCCAGAGATAAAGAAACATTCCTGGTTTCTAAAGAATCTGCCGAAAAACTTGATGGATGGCGAGAAAACGAGTTCAGACCAGGCACAGCAAAGAGTGGAAGATATAATGCGGATCATACAAGAGGCAAAGATCATTGGAGAAGGGTCAAAACCTGGGCAAGCTCCTGCTGGGGCACCAATCGACCCCGATGACATGGAAGGTGACCTGGAATCTGAAATTGACAACAGTGATTATTTCGTCGCTCATATCTGAGGTTGTCATTTGAACTAGACTGAAGAAAAAACATTTTTTTGCATGAAACTCTGAGTTGTTTATTATGTACATAAGTCTATCTGCTATGAACTATGAGTTTCAGGTGAGCAAACTGTCTTTGATGTACTTAACAGCAAATACAGCTTTTTGCCTGGTTAGAACGTATAACACTTGTCTATATCTATATATAATTAAAAGGAGAGGAAAAAGCCCTCTCCTTAAGCCAAGTGGCAACCTAAAAAAATGCCACATGGCATAATTAGTTATTAGTTATCAGTTTTGAATTTAAATATATATATATATATATATTAATTGGTTACTTTATTTGAATTAATAAATACAAATATCTTNATATATATATAGTAATTGATTACTTTATTTGGATTAATAAATATAGATATCATATAATTAAATATGATAAAAAAACAACGAAAAATAAATATATTAAAAATAACTACCCATTCAAATTGGGTGGGAGTAGTTTCAAGTTTGAGTTTTTAAATTATGTTAAAAGAAAAAGCAATAAAAAAACGAAAAAAGAGAAGAAAAACTATCCATTCAAATCATGAAGTAGTTTCAAGTTGGAGTTTTAAAATAATTTTAAAATAAAAAACGAAATTAAATAAAATAATGAATTACTAATTCATATTGGGGAGTAGTTTCAAATTAGAGTTTTAAAATTATTTTAAAATAAAAAAACGAAAAATCTATTTATATAATATAATATAATATAATATATGTATAATATATAATATATAATATATATAATAGGAGAGTCAAAGAAATCTATATCTATATATATATATATATATATATATATAATATGAGAGGCAAAGAAATGTTATAATGACAAGTGTCATAATTTTTATTAACAATATAATTATACTAAATATTGGATAATATAATAAATAAAAATACATAACGAAAAATTATTTGATGACTATATAATTCCCTTTAATTTAATGGATATTTTATTTATTAAAATTTAGACAATATCTATTCTATTTATATAGAATAGGATAATCAAATGATTGTGATAATTCCAAACGTAATATCGAAAAATTAACAGAGTAACAAATATTTTTTTAATATTGACCGCGCAACGCGCGGGTACGGCTACTAGTTATGAATTAACAGAAATACTCTTAGTTCACCCTTTGGTTCATACTGAGTATGATCTTTTATATCTAATAGTATATTATCCTTTTGGATATGTATACATAGTTCGAGATGAAAACAACGGGTTCATTTGAATTTGTGAGCCCAATCGTGAAGCTTGCCAGTGTAAAATTCAATGTTGATAAAAGAGCTTTACACAATTTGAAATTCAATGGATGATCCCCTCACTGGAACAGGAGTTACTCGAATGGATGATCGCATCAATGAGTAAACCAGTAAATGTAAAGCTGATAATAGGAAGAAAAAAAAGTGTATATATAAGGTGCTAAGGAAAAGACTCACAGAATCACCAACCTTTAACTGAAATCGGAGTCAAATTTAATTATTATTTCGCACTTGCTAATTTTTTTAATAAAAATTTAGGAGTGATAATTAATGCAGCTTTAATTCTCGAGTAGCTAATTACTGGCTTACTGCTATTATAGTTACTTCTGGACTCGCTACATCCAGGTGAAATGTTAATCCAAATTTTCCATTTTAATATAATTTTCTCAGTTGACAAACAGCAAGGGATCCGTGGCGCAATGGTAGCGCGTCTGACTCCAGATCAGAAGGTTGCGTGTTCGATTCACGTCGGGTTCAATTTCCCCGATTCTTAGGTCCCCCTTTCTTTTTGCTTTTTTTGGCTATCTTTTTTTTTCTTTTTTTCCTACAAGATTTACAGGGACATAAAAGTGAGCCACAAGATAGACATGAACAACTATATATAAAATATGCTGTAGTTGAAAGTTTTACTATTTATAATACCTTTATCGCACCAAAGTCATTAAAATATTTTTTAGCGAAAAATTAATTAACTTTACCTAAGTATCATGAGTCACTTAAAAAGCATTTCATAAATAATCAGAGAGGACAAGTCAAATTGTGACATAGTTTTGTTATATTGTTAATACATATACTTTAGTGACACCTAGAACCCTTGTTGTGAAGTGTGGCATCTATAGAAGAAGGTAGAACCGGAAGATTATGCAAAATAGGAGGAGATGTTTTTGTAAAGAGGAATGCCCATCACTACAAGAAAAATGCTCGATAGCGAAGGGAAAACTGGTCCCTAAAAGTAAGAAATTGGTCCCAAATGGTCAATAGCGACCAGCTAATCTGGTCCTTATAGCTTCCGCCGCTAAAGATCATTAAGGACAAGATACGGTGCTGGTCGCTAAAACTGTTTCACGACCAGTTTAAAACTAGCCCTTAAATGGTTTTTAAGGACCATTTTACTGGTGCCTATTTGCATATTTAGGGACTAAATTTCTGGTCCTTAAAATATTTTCGGGACTAGCTTAAATGTGGTCGTTAAAACGTTTCGCGGCCAGTTAGAAGCTGCCCGTTATATCTTTTCGGAGAAATTTAAAGCTGGTCCCTAAGTCGAACAGGTCTGTACTACAAAGTTACAGATTTAGCAACCAAGTTTTCCACTCCTAAAAAGGATTTAAGGACTAACAGTCTAGTCCCTACAGAAACAAGTCACAAGTCCCTAAATCACATTCAATTTGCAACTAGAAAATTTGGAATATTAAGATATAGATGATGTTGCTTTCATAAAATAATGCCAAAAATGATCAACATCATTTAGTTGCACCGTACATCAATAATGTAAGCTAATCACAATATTGTGTTCATAAAAATTTAGCAAAAAATTACATATCACTAATATCCCTCGATTGTAATGAAAATTTTCTTGAAACTCCCAGTAAAATGATGGTTAATCTGTATGTCTTCAAAAATTTGCTTCTAGTAAACTTCAATATCCAAAACCTGTAGAAGAAATAAGAAATTTCAGTTATAAAAACTATATATAACAGTGTAGACGGAACAAAATCAGAGGTAAACAGAAGATTATAAAAATAACAAAGAAAAAAGAAGCAACAGAAAGTTAATGGCTAGACACTATTGTTCCCTTTCATCTTATTAACTTAGATTGGTTTGTCATAATTTAGTCACAGCCAAGTTCATGATACGTATTGTCAGCTTAAGCCTAACAGATCTCACAGATTTGCCGCTATGCCATCATCGAGGCGAAAAGCATGCATACTATGTGATATTCGCGTAAGATATCACGTGCACTCATTATTCAGAAGCATGTGGTATTATTTTAATATCTAAATTACGGTAGAGGAAAAGAACAATAGATCTAGTAGGTACGTGAATTGACGAAACGATGATGCTTCCGTTTCTGACAGAGAAGATAGAACCACAGATATTGCATAAAGAGTTCAACTAAAACAAAAAGAAAACACGTCACTAAGAGGTGACCACACAAATTGTAGCAAAAGTACAAAACAAAGGTTAAGAGATAGGAGCCAAAAGAACCCCACATCTACTAAAACTGGGATGGCATGATATAATGACATCACAGACAAACCTGGATACGCTTCCTAAAGACAGCATTCTCATAAGAACCAATGGCTTGTATAAAGTGCCCCGCCCTCTCCAAATTAACCTGCAGTAATGAATAGGCAAAGCCCATAATCAAATACAACTACTAAGTGCTTCAAACATATCATGCAGATTAGACAACTTTAGAGCCAGAGAAGTTCTGTCAGGCATTAAAACTAGTTAATGATTGGCTACAAGATTTACAAACCTTCACACACACCTATAAATTTAACATCAATAAAGACCAGACCTTGCATATTTCAGACAAACTAGGGTCACGTCTGCTTCATACAATGAATCATCACAATAGCCTTCACAATTGTTATACAAACGAGCAAATGGTAAGACAGAAAGTACATATGGAAACGTGGCGTAGGTCGGAAATGAAAAATGGAGCAACACAGAGAAGCAGACTATTCTGTACCTAACAAGAATTAGTAAGATAGCCACCCATATTGACAAATTCCTTCTTGTAGACATCAATGAGTAAGTTAATGGCTCCCTGTAGGTTCACAATTAAAAGAACATTCAGAATAGAAGCGTATGGGACAAAGGAGATACATTCAATACGGACACCTCTTTGCCAGCAAAATTCTAGCTCCAAAAACCAAAGGGCAACTAGTACTGTAGGCTAAATGAGAAAAGCACTAATTAACATCCAAAGAATACAAACCTCTTATATCTCCAAAGATGGCACATGGGATGAAAATCATTTCCAACAAATAAACACATGAAAACAAAATCATCTATCAGTCGCTCCAGGTCTAGTTTGACAGTTGGATCTGGAATTTGAAGTTCGTATCACAAATAATCTCTGAGTACCCATACTTTAAGAAACTGAAAAGATCCAGCAACAGAAATTTAGAAAGATATAGCATAGTATAGTATAGTATAATATAATGTAATGTTCAGTATAGGTAAGATTGGACATACTGTAAGCAGCAATCTTTTGAAGTATTTGCTGGAAAAGCATTTATTTGGTACGATACAACAAGGAAATAGATAATACCAGGTACTTAAATAATTTGATTAGGTTAACAGAAAGGGAAATATTGCCATTCACATGATTTACATACAACTATATCTTTATCAACATGGAAAGAAAGAGGGACAAATTGACCACATTATCATACATGTGGACTGTGACCACAGGACAGTTTCTATGTATCACTACATTAAGTTATAGAAGCACATAATATGGACACATATGGTCATAGTTAGCTGTCTATTTTTCGTCTTTTACATTTTCAATTTAAATCAAACTGACATCGCTTTTTAACCATAACCTTTTCAAAATAATTAGTTCTTCATAGATATATGCTACACCACTATAAATGTGATGGACAGTAAGACGTGCATTTCATACTTAATATGGTTGCACTTGAACATTGAAAATTCGAACTTGTATCTTAAAACTGTCATGTTTTTCCTATGTATCCTTCCTCTGCCAAGCTCGTGCCAACTAATTTTTTGTTCTCTCTTGTAACCTAGTTGTATCCTTGTCCATGACGCATACTTGCTTGCTAATCCCCTTACTAGAGTTATTGAATTGATAGTTATTAACAGATAATACCGTCAGATAACAGGGAAACAATTGGAACCTAAAGTTAATAATAAAGATTATGCAATCCATTCAGAAACACACTGACCTCCCTTAGAATTGAAAAGTGAATTTCATGTGACGCCAATGCCAGCATTATCAAGTCTGCGTCCTGTGGAAGCACCAGAAAATATGTAAAAAGAACACACTTGAAAGACGTCATGAAAGAACACTTCAGCATAAAGCAAAAAGGGCAAGTAGGCTGCTGTAGAGTACGACAGAAAAGAGGAGGAAAGAAAAGTAGGGTGCCACAAATTACCAAACCATACAAGCAATGTCGTGTATTAGGATCAAATCCTGGAAGATTCCTTTGCAAGCAAATATAAAACATTATCGTATGCTCCCCTTCACCAAGCACACTAGCATAAGAGAGAATAACCTAAAAAGATCACGATATAGAAGAACCATAATGTATGAGGGAAAAAGGATATCCCATAGAGCATGAGAGCAAGTGTCCAACAGAAGTACGCTTATCTTGATTCCCTGCCAACCAGAGTCTACATTCACTTTCAAACGTACATAGTATTGAAGTGCAGATGACAGCAGTTCCATGAATTTCGTTCCAGGTGTAATAACATTAGAATCCAACTTTTTAGTACTTAAATTTTCCCGTTCTGTTTCATCATTCCCTCTTATTCTCCCTCTATCAGAGGCCTAAAAACAATAAAGTTCAATCTGCTTTCATAGAAAAGGAAAAAAGGAAAGAAATGGAGAAATCCCTAAACTGTCAAAACTTCCAAATCATAGAAAAGGAAAAGGAAAGAAAGGGGGAAATGCCCGGTGTTTGCAGCCTTTCCGTGACTGGCTTCTCTTTGCCTTATCATTACTCACATTTGAGCCCCATTTGCTTGAAAAACAAAAACAGTAGAATCTATTCCATGACTGAATGTTGGGATATGATGAACCAAATTATAAATCATATTGCAGTCATAATACGAACAACCAATACCCATTTTTGGTGAAATTTCAGTTCTAGGTGTTTGACATTCTCTAATGTCTAATGATTTACGAGCAACCATACAGCCCCTCTTTGTACAAATTTCTCCTCACACAATAAAGATCACCCAATTTTAAACCCAATAATCTTACTTTTATCACTCACACAAGAAAAATCATTATTCAAAATAACCAATTGCAGAAAACAACTAAAGAAACCAAAAAATTGCAGAACCCTTTTTTCGATTTCTGATTCAATCTGGAAAAAAAGCTCGAAGAAGAAAAAAGAAATGGAATAGATTAAAGAGAAAGAAATTAAACTTACTCTTGTTTAGGCGGATAATCCAATGGTATAATTTGTGTAAAGTCGCTTGGAGAGATGAATTTTAGACACTACCCTTCTGATTTCTTTGCAACTGTGTGCATTTTGATGAAGTTTTGCGGCTGCCTCTCAGGGATTTTAGCCTAATACTAGTATTTTGGAGGGATTTTAGGGTGAAAGAGAATTTGGAGGGATTACGGTGAAATTTTTGGAGCTTTTCCTTCTTTTCTTTTTTAACTTTAGTTTTTGTCAGTTTCGCGCCCCTATCCCGCTGAAATCGATATTAGAGACCATAACTTTTGTATAGACCAGAATAAGTGTGGTCGTGTATTTAAAAGATAAAATTCCTTTTTAAAGACCAAAAAAAATTCTCATCCCTATAAGTACACTTTTAGGGACCATATTTAAAACTTGTCGCTAAATGCTGGTCCCTAATAAGGCTTTTTCTTGTAGTGCATATCTATTTTGATGACTTGCATCCACCTGAAGCTGTGAACGTTGCTTGATAGCAGATTTATTTTTGGACGAGGTGATGGTTGACGCCTAGGCAAACGTATTCTATGTCTAATGATTTTCGGCATGACGCCTACGCAGACGTATTCTATGTCTAATGATTTCAGGCGTGACTTGCATTCGAAGACTCGATAACTAATTACTGTAATATTATTTTTTATTTTTGGTAGATTACTAAAAAGTTGTTATTTGAAAGAAATATCTAAAATAAAAAATAAAGATATATTAGCAATTGCTAAATAAAGTTTTCAAATCTCCTAAAGTATGATTCAAACTTGTGCTTTAAAATAAATTGTTGTTATTGATGATTTATGCAGTACTATTCTATATATTTTTAGTAAAAGTCAAGAGGATAGTTAATGAGCTTTTGGATATAAAAATAAAAATAAAAATAAAACTTATTTCTTATTTATACATCACAAATGATGAGTAAAAACAAAGTATTTACAATATTAAACAAGAGTACGTTAATTAACAATTTCTGATGGAAAAATTAGGTAATTATCTCATGAGTAAGAATAATCATTGAACTTTGAGTTAAATATATTTTACTTCTAGTAAGGTATAAAAATAGGAACCGAGAAAATATTCAGAATAATCCTATTAATGAATGAGAGTTGTGTTACGAAACTTAGCTCAAAGTAACAATATAGAACAATAAAATAGACAACAATGCAGAGAGGAGAGAATCTTATTTCTTCTATGTATTCAAGTGTGTACAATGTGATGCCCAAACCCTATATTTATAGGATGATATAGGTAATACAAAGGGACCCCATAAACATGGTATTAACTATTGAGAACATGGGGGAAGATCATGGAGGTGTGGGAGTTACATCCATAATGGTAAGAAGTAGTGGGAGGTTAATGGAGAAGAGTAGTGGGTGTTACTCCCTTAGGAGTTACGGACATCCACGATAATCAAGTATTTCATAACAAGTTGCTATATTTCCTTTAATTGTTGCTCTTTAGTCTTCCTTAAAATAAAAATACTAAATTTCGGTAAATGACCTTGATGAGTCTCATTTGAAATTAAATATCTGCATTTTATTGGTGTATATCCATGGTAAAATTGAGAACAACTTAATTAAGTTATGTAGATTGACGCACCTAAAAAGGTGATAATTTTATAAAGAAAAGTGTTTACGAGTTATAAAATTTCTTCAGTTTTTTCATCTTTAAAATAATTTATTATTTTCTAACAATAAATTAAAATTGTAGTAACATATTTAAATTTTGTACTACTCCATTTAGGAATAGGAGAGGAGACGTACGGAATACGCGAATTTGGGAATGAATATAATAGGGTAAACGCAGACTAAATAGCCCATTTAGGCAACCAAAATAAACTACAACAAAAACTACGCTGCGCAGCAGAGGCGAGAGACAGAGGATATTCACAAAACATTGTTGGTAGTAACCTAGTTAGTTCTAATGGCGGAAATAGAAGAAGAAGTAGAAGTTATGTGGAAGAGAGGGAGAACATTGGGGAAAGGAGGGTTTGGCTTTGTCTCCTTAGCTTCCACTGATGATACCAATTTCGATGCCGGTACTGTTCATCATACTCTAATTCCATCACTCATTGCGGTAAAATCTTGTATGCTCAGTCGTTCTGAATCGCTTCAAGTAGAGAGGGAATTTCTCCGCATGTTTGAGGACTCTCCTCACGTTATTCGCTCTTTCGGTGTTAAAGTTACGCTAGAAGACGGTGTTCTCCTCTACAACTTATTGTTAGAATATGCTTCTGGTGGAAGTCTGGCTGATCGTTTGAATTGTTCAGGGAAAGGAATGGCAGAGGTTGAAGTTAAAACACACACCAAGAACGTCGTTTTAGGGCTTAGTCGCATTCATGGCGCGGGAATTATTCACTGCGACTTAAAGCCTCACAACATTCTACTTGTTACTCCTACTCCTACTGATGATGATACAACAGAGATTGCCAAGATCGCAGATTTCGGGCTCGCTATGACTTTGGAACAGAGCTGGACACAAAAGCAGGGATTAAGAGGAACTAAAAGGTATATGGCACCTGAATCCGTGCTTAAGCAGGAGTACGGCCCTGAGGTCGACATCTGGGCTCTTGGCTGCACTGTCTACGAGTTGATCACTGGGAAACCCCTCTGGGAATCATCCAATTCTAAGGTTGATGATGTGTTACGTCGAATCGCGTCTGAGGAACCAAGTTTTGAGAATGCGAAACTGTCAGCAGAGGCAAAAGATTTTGTGAGAAGTTGTCTGGTCAAGAATCCGAGCTCGCGTTGGACTGCGGACATGCTCTTGAATCATTCTTTTCTGAAATCAGCCAACAATGTCCAGCCTGCAACAAAGACAAGGAAGAAGCTAAGTGGTTACATGTCCCTTTTGCGCAGGCCCCGTCGAAAGACAGCATTCAAGACACAGCCACACATTCGCGATTTGATTGTAGAACATTGATGCAATAATCAGAAGGCACCTGCTGAATCTGAAGAGAGTAGATAGGTTATTCTTAATAGAAAATTGATTTGTTGTATATGTAAAAGAACTACGTGCGGGCTTGATCTCCCTTTAGGATTTGTTTGGGGTACGTAGGCAGCCTGCGACCAAGATGATCAGGTGCAGCCCCTTCTTAGTTAAAAAAAAAAAACAATACAATTGAATTATGAATACTGTATATGTAAAGAACTACGTGTGGGCTTGATCCCCTCTTTAGGATTTGTTTGGGGGTTACGTAGGCAGCTTGTGATCAAGATGATCTCAGGTGCAGCCCCTTTTTAGTTCAAGAAAACAAACTGTATGCTTATAGTTGATCAACAATATTCCTTACAAAGTAAAATTTTCTTGTTGTATTGATTTTTGGCCATGGCTTAGTGGCACCAGTTTTGTAGTACATGCCTTAGTATTGGTATTTGTGTTGCTGATTGTTCTTGAAGCCAAAAATGGCTAATTCCTTTCTGAAGTCATGATCTTGTAGTCTTATTGCTTTTGGTTTAATTATACCCCTACCCTCTTTAATTGAGTCATTTCCTTGAAAGATTTACTTTCTTGTTAATCAGTAGATAGACCTGCTTCTCTATGTTTTATTCCTTGTTATTTTGCTTTGGCATTATAAATTGTTGTCTTGTTCAGCTTTATGAATTGATAAAGTTGTGTCTGTTGTTAATTTTATGTCAGCTGTTGTGTATCAGCACTTGTTATCATTGTTGCATCTATTTGATATTTTGGTAACACAGCTTGTGATGAGTGATGACTTTGAAACAGTGGTAAGCAGTTTAAGAAAAGCTGCAGTTGTCCCTCTTGTGAATTGACCATAATGTTAGGTGACCTGCAGCATTTACTGCTACTGGTTATCCTCTCTTCTTGAAAATTTTGCTCTTTTTGTTCTCAATAATTTTTGCTTTAAACAACTGCATTTTAAGTGCTGCCTTATTTCTTTTATGCAGAATAATTTGAATTCTTGTATATGAAATATGAGTATTTGCTTCTTCTGCCATGAAAATTTGAATGGCCCTGTTAGGGTAATGCCACGTAGGAATTGTTGAAGTATATTTGTATAGAGTTGGTGTAATTGTTATCTCATTTAGGTAGTGACTACTTTGGATCGGAGTCTTATTCTCCAAGACCCTCGTGTATATATTTACGTATCTGCATACAAGAATAGAGTGCTTGAGCAGCGTTTTCTGATACTATCACAGTGCATATTTCCAGTATATGCATGACACTCCATATAACAATTGATTCCGAGGTGCTTAATATAGGAGTGAGAATTAATGCAGCTTTAATTCTTGAGAAGCTAGTTACTGATATTATAGTTACTTCTGGACTCGCTACATCCAGCTGAACTGAAATGTTAATCCAAATTGTTCTCCATTTTACATAGTTTAACTACATGGAATCAGTGGCGCAATGGTAGCGCGTCTGACTCCAGATCAGATGGTTGAGTGTTCGATTCACGTCGGGTTCAATCCTCCCGATCCATACCAGATCCTCAATCTGCCTTTTGTAGCTCATCCTATCAAAGTTATATTATAGTCTGCATTATACCTTGTGCATGCCCGCATTCAACAAGGTGAAGGTGCTTAGCACTTCAATTCATTGTGATTTGGTTAACGAAGCTCCTAATACCTGTATCTAGCACTTAGCAGCAATCATATACTAAACACACAAGAAGCTATATATCATCCTTTCTCTCCTTGTCCAGGAAACATTAATATCCAAAAAGTACATAAATAAAGAGGTACAAGGCTGTTAGCACATATCAAGCAACTCAACTGAGCAAGCACTTCATAAAAATAAAGTGGGGACTACTGACTAGTCCGACGACAAGGCAGAGTGCGTAGGAAAACAAAAAAGATAGAGAATCTAGTATGGATCGGGAGGATTGAACCCGACGTGAATCGAACACGCAACCTTCTGATCTGGAGTCAGACGCGCTACCATTGCGCCACGGATCCTGTTGAGGAAGAAACAAGAATTATTTTACAAGATATATAAACAACCACATGATAAAAGGGCATTTAACATGATGTCACGATTTATTTTTTCTTCAAAGATTGTCATTTATTGAATGTCCAAATAATATAGTCAAACGAGTTATCTTACCGCCATTTTTTATTACTTATTACTTATATTGTATTTTTTTTTAAGTAAAATGTAAATCTTATTTCAAAAAAATTTAAAAATTCTATATTCGGAATTACGATCAAAAGTTTCACTCTCGAAATTTGAATAGTACCACATAATTAACTGAGAGAGAGGGAGTAATCGATAGTAATTAGAAACATTGGATAATGCCACACCTACGGAAAGCACAGTTTGAAGTGATGTAACCATAACTATAGTAATATTATTTTCTATGCGAGGTATATAATAGTCAACAACGATATTCTTGGAAACACCTCCATTAATATCAATGTCAAAAAACATAATGCAAGCATTGATAAATTTTTTAATCTTATATTTGGTGTTAATGTAAAAGGAGAATTAAAAATTAGTTAAGGGTGGTCTTTTGCGTCTTATTTCTATCATTTTTAGTTCTTTAGATAGAACACTTAGAGGTTGTTCAAGTTGCTTAAATGCATGACACAATAATTTTTTGTATTGCGGACGCTTGACAAGAGTTAGTTTGATCGTTCAGTTTAAGCACCATAATAGAGCTTGCCAAATTAAACAATTCAAGGTGACCTTGTTAGTCCTTGGTCTAATTGTTTACCCTTAAAATGGATAACAATTGAATTTATATGTAGTTTTACGGATATATGGGTTAAATCAATACAAATGATTAATGACGTTGGATAAGCAAATAAAAGATAGAATAAATAGCCAAACCAATGATGATAGTGGGTCCGGGCTCGGTTGAAAGCTTGACAAGAAGCCTGCCTTCGGTTCCGAGCCAACACTTACGAACAAAAGTAAGAACTTTGAATAACCTTTAGGAACAGAAAAAACAGATGTATATTGCCTTGGAATGTGTGTTACAATGTGTTTAATGAATAATCAGCTTCCCCTTTATATAGTAGGGGAGTTTTACCTTAAGTACAATTCTAAAAAAGGTAAAAATCTTCCTTTTCGCTAATCACCGATCTACCACTGATACAGGCCGAGATTCACGCCGTGATATCCGGTTGGACACAGATATCACGACCCTTTGTTAATCGTCGTGGTCGTTCGCTAATGCTCTCCGAGGTCTTGGAACTCGAACCGGACCCGGGGGCGTGGTCTTGATGGCTCCGAGGGCAAGTGTTTTTCTCGGGCCTTGATGCGAGAGGCTCCTGGCTTTGATTCTAATTCCGATTCCCTGCAGTCATGTCCTTGCTTCGTTTGCCTCACCGAAAATCGGGGTACTCACTACCCTCTGTTTTACCCGTATACAGATAGTCCCCTCGTTTTTCAGAGAGTAGGTTTGTCGAAATGATGTGAAACGATAGACATTCTCCGTTCCTTCCCGTACGTTACGACGAAGGAGCCGAAACGTCCCATCAGTCCCATCGTTCTGACTTCGAATATGTGTCAATCATCGACTGGTTGCTTCCGAATGCGAAGTGTCGCCTGCTTTCCAATAAAAGCTTCCATCCTTTGCTCTTTTGCTACTTTTCGATCAAGCTTTTACCTTCGAGCTTCCCAGCCATCATCAAACTTCTTTCAAACCTTCATCTTTTGATCTTTAAATCTTCATAGTGATTTCCAGGTTTTTACCCGGACTTCCTTCAAATCTTCATACACTATTTTTCATCCTTCAAACTCGTTCTTTCAAACCTTCGTATTCTTTCTTTAAATCGTCAAACATATCCAGATAACAATGGCTAAAACATCTAAATATGTTCCTCAACAAGTTGCCTCCTTATCTTCTCAACCGGCCGCCGGTACTGAGGTGGTTGCCCCTGAAGTAGTTTCCCTCGAAACAGCTGCTCCCGAGGTGGTTGTCGACGAACCGGCCCCCGAGCCTCCCTTGAAAATGTTTATTCCCGCGGGCTGCTCAACTGCAGACGACTTTAAGGTCGAGAAACCCTTATGCAAACAGGATCGGGGTGAAGGAGCATCAAGGTACATATGCTCTGTGACCGAAGACGTCCTTCCCATGGTCTGAAGGGACTGTAATTGGGAAGGTAAGGATATTGTAGTACCCGCGCCTGAGGATGCCATTAATACCCATGTGGAGGGGTACTTAAGTATTTGCGCTTGCCCTTTCACACTGGGCCCAGTAGACTCAGTTGTTTTGATTTTTGCAAGAGGTGCGAGGTGTGACCAGGGCAAATCCATCCGTCTCTATGGAGGATCATGATCCTCCTTCGTTATTTCGTGAACAAGGCCGAGTCTCGTCGGTTTACCATCGATCATCTACTCCGTTTATATATCCCCGAATTTTTCGAGGGGGTTTAATCAAGCTCAGCTGTCGGGCCAGCAAGGCCCCTTTTTCGAGCATTGATGAATGCCGAGATCGGGGCTGGCAGGGATGCTTCGTTGGGGTGAAGATCGAAGACTTGATCCCTCCCGAGTTTATGCCATTTCCTGAAAAATGGAATGCATCTTGTAAGTGCAGTCTCTCCTTAAGTGTCAATTTTATATTCACTTTCTTTCTTCTCATTCATATTTGTGGTTGTGCAGTTGTTGCCTGGGTTCGAAATGCGGTCCCCCGGCTAAAGGAGTGGATCAAGGGCATCTGCACACAAATGACCTATTCCGAGCGCGCATGGCGTAAGCTTTCAAAGGGCCGATCGGAGGCCTGTTCTCATGGTAAGGTCTTTCACCGAACAGTTAATACCATGCTTTTTAACTTACATTATACTGACTTTTCTTGCCCCCCCCCCCCGTTTTTATAGGTTTGCCTAAGACCACCGAACCTAGACCTTTAGAAAGGGAAGATGACGTATCCTTGTCCGTTGATCCCTCCATTACGGGACAGCCCGGGGCTGCTGCGGGGGAAAAGAAGAAGAAGAAGAAGAAGAAGAAGAAGAAGAAGAAGAAGAAGCCTTTGATTTCCCTGAGCTTTGAGACGAAGCCGAAGAAAATATTGGCTCGTAAGCCAAA